ATCTCCACAGGAAGTGACAATAGGACACTGTATGTTGCTTTTCTGGCAAGATTCCCAAGGAGGTATGTTTTCTGTATTTGTTAAAAAAATGAATGCAACAACCACAGCCAAGAACAATTTAGGCTTCCAATATATTATCAATTTTTTGTTATTGGGTTTAGTTATTCTTTAGAGTCTGAGTTTGCTTGCACTAATACAATGCACACAGCAGCAAAAGTCCAACAGAAGCATATAAGCCTCAGGATAAAGGAATCTTTATTAAAAAAAAAAATATACTCTTCCATTGCATATGCCTTTCTGTATACAAAGTACAAACACAAAGAGCTTACACTTTGTTTGAGACGTACAAGCTTAATTAAAACAGTTTGAAACCTCCCTAAAATGTCTAGGGGTCCCATGATAAAGTTGGGCAAAGTATGCCATATAGCACCCAGATGGAGGAAAAACTACTCTGGTGTTGGTGGAGTCATTGGGAGGAAAAGATTGCTCGGTGTTGGTAGGGCAGTGTGAGGGAATAAATGTCTCCATTATCAGTGAGAGTACAAGAAGCCCCTGCTGCCAAAGAAAAAGATTCGCCTCAGCATGAAAAAACAACAAATTAACCAGATTTGATGGGAGTGAGAAAACACAGCATCAGGCGGAATATAAAAAAATACCCTAGAGTTTGTGGTTTGGGAGACGTGGCACTGGTGGTCAATGGAGGCCCTGCAAGTGCAAGGACATGTCTCCCAATTAGAAGTTTATGAGCAGATTTTTTGACCCAAGCTGTCCGCCATAAAAGTTAATGAGCACTTTTAGTTGAGCTAAGCTGTCTGCCTGTCTGTCTAATTCATCCCAAAGGTGTTCTATTGGGTTTGAGGTCAGGCCAGTCAAGTTCCTCCACCCAAAACTCACTCATCCATGTCTTTTATGGACCTTTGCTTTGTGGTGTCCAACAGTCATGTTGGACTATGCAGGGCCGGTGCTTTTCAATAGGCAAACTAAGGCGGTGGCCTAGGGGCAACCTAGGCGCAGCACAGGCCGGCACTCCTCTCTTTGTGGGATCCGCCACGTCATGGAATGATCCTTCAGCTGAGAGGAGGGGCAGCAAAGGGGAAGGAAGAAAGGACAGAGGAAGATGCCAGGTGCCTGGGGCCAGATGTAGCAGTTGAGCTGCTAGCTCTTTCCAGTGTTTCTTCTCAGACTCATTCCCTTACTGCAAGCCACTGATTGCTTTTGACCACTGTGGAGTTCCACGCCCTTCTCTTCCCATTCATCAGCAGAGGCAGAGCTGCACCTGCAGATGGAAGGTACTGTCTGACTCTGCTGCTTTGTGTCTGTATGAGTGTGACCATGGTCGCCATCCATCCACATGCGCAATGTGTCAGTTGAGTGATGACATCATCACGATCCCACAGCCTGCTCTTCTAGTGCCTGCTGATCTGTTTCAGTGTTGGTGTGGGTTTGTTGTGTCGGATCTGTCACTGGATCACTCAGCTTCAGGTGTTGTGTGTGGGCTGGGCTGCCTGCTGTCACAGCATTTTATCTCCCCCTATTGCCTGGGGGAATTCCAGCCTGGGATCTGTCAGAAGTTATATTTGGCACTTATTTGTGTAAATTTAAAATAAATTTAGCAGTTTCATGTTTTGCTTGATTTTATTATTTTTATTATAATTTATATTTATATTTTTGGGGGGGGGGGGTGCAAGTACTGGTCTTGCCTAGGGTGCAAAATAGTCTAGCACCGGACCTGGGGTCATCCCCAAACTGTTCCCAACAAATTTGGTAGCATGAAATTGTCCAAAATGATTGGTAAATCTGATGCCTTAAGAATTCCCTTACTGGAACTAAGGGGCCAAGGCCAACACTTGAAAAGCAACCCTACACCATAATCCCCTCCCTATACACTTGGCATAATGCAGTCCGGCAAGTATCGCAACTGCCAAACCCAGACATGTCTATCAGATTGCCAGACAGAGAAGCATGATTCATTACACCAGAGAAGACTTCTCCACTGCTCTAGTGTCCAGTGGCGGCGTGCTTTACACCACTGCATCCAACGCCTTTGCATCTGCTTGTGATGTAAGGCTTTGATGCAGTTGCTCGGCCATGGAAACCTATTCCATGAAGCTCTCACTACAGACTGAAGTTGTGCTAATTTGGAGGCCACATGAAGTTTGAAGGTCTTTAGCTATTGACTCTGCAGACAGCTGTCGACTTCTGTGCACTGTGTGCTTAAAACATGCGTTGACCCCGCCCTGTTATTTTACGTGGCCTTACCACTTCATGGCTGAGTTTGCTGTTGTTCCCAGTTGCTTCCACTTTGGTTATAATACCACTTACAGTTGACTGTGGAATATTTAGTAGCCAGGAAATGTCCCACCGATGACTCTTATTGCACAGGAGGCAACCTATCACGGGACCCACGCTTGAATTCACTGAGCTCCTGAGAGCGACCCATTCTTTTCACAAATGTTTGTAGAAGCCGTCTGCATGCCTAGGTGCTTGATTTTATACACCTGTTGCCATGGAAGTGATTGGAACACCTGAACCCAATGATTTGGAGGGGGGTCCCAATACTTTTGGCCAATATAGTATATCTAAAGCTAGAACCAATATTCAATGAAAAAAATTAAGCAAATTTTTTGGCAATTATACACCATGAACTTTTGATCTTTTTAAACATGATTTTTTAATACTAGTATCAATTATTATTATTCTGATGGTCATTTTTATTATATGTATGGTATATTTACATAAGAAGATTTCATACTTTTGGGTCACACCTGTCTAATGAAGCAAATTTTTGCTAAACAAAATGCATTGTACATCACCATTTGTATACTTTTGACTCCTCCATAAAACTTAAGATGCAAGCTGAAAAAAATCAATGGAGATTTATGTATGGCATGACTGCATGAATATTGCTCCTTTGGAGCTGATGGGTCCACCTTCAAAGAATTTGAATTGTATTTTTTTTTTTTCCTATGGAGGATAAAAGTTAATACACTTTCTTTTAATGATCTAATTAATGATGATATTTTCATTACACTGTAGTACATGCTTTTGATTCTATTGTATGATCTACAGGGTCACCCATAAAGTCCTATAACATTTCCATTTTTCTGTGCTCCTTTAGGATGAAATACTCTGAAATTCATTATATTGGAAATTAATTTTTCAATATGCTCCCATATTACTGTCTTGCATCTTTTCATTCATAATAATAATAATAACAATAATAGTAACTCAACTTCAAAGTGAACATTGTATGAAAAAGCATATTAATAAACATGCAGGATATGTTTAACAAAAGAGGCTTAAAGAATTGGTAATCAAATTATTCCTGCTATGGTCACTATCCCACAAGTGACATTTCACAGAATATGGTGAAGATCTGCATAATAACCAATCAGCTTTCAGGTTTTATTGTCAAAGCTTAATTGAGAAAGCTGAAGTTAGAAGCTGATTGGCTACTATGCACAGCTGTGCCAGATTCCAATCGCTGTCCAAATCTTGTAGACTTCACCTCCGCAACATCTCCAAGATACGCCCGTTCTTAACCTCGGAAACTACTAAGCAACTTATTCACTCCCTGGTTTATCTCTCGCCTTGACTATTGTAACTCCCTCCTCATTGGCCTACCTCATCGCAGGCTATCCCCTCTTCAGTCTATTATGAATGCTGCTGCCAAACTCATCCACCTGACTAACCGTTCCATATCTGCCATCCCTTTCTGCCAATCCCTCCACTGGCTTCCCATTGCCCAACGATAAAATTCAAAACATTAACAATAACGTATAAAGCCATTTATAACTCTGCCCGAAATTACATCACCAATCTTGTCTCCAAATATCACCCAAACCGTCCTCTCCCGCTCCTCCCACGACCTTCTGCTCTCTAGCTCCCTTGTCTCCTCCTCCCATGCTTGTCTCCAGGACTTCTCCAGAGCTTCCCCCATCCTCTGGAACTCTCTACCCCAATTTATCTGACTGTCACCTACTCTGCTCACTTTTAGCTGATCTCTGAAAATCTCTTCAGGGAAAGCCTATCCTGCCCTCGGCTAATAATGGAATAATGGAATCTTCTAATCCTCCTACCAGTCCATCCCCCACAGTTACTACCTTTTGTACCACTAGCCCCTGCCTCTTAGATTGTAAGCTCCCAGGATCAGGCCCTCCTATCCCTCTTGTATTGAACTGTATTGTTGCTGTATTGTCTCCCTTTATATTGTAAAGCGCTGAGCAAACTGTTGGCGCCATATAAATCCTGTATAATAATAATAATCATAATTCTGTGTGCACCAGTTTTAGTAAATCTCCCCCATGGAGTCTGCTAGAGGACCACAGGGTACTGGTGTTCAGGCAGAGCTACCCAGCCACCTGGCTACTCCTTAATAGACTTCTTGTAATACATTTAAGATCCCTCCTATGTATGACAAAATATCAGGTTCATTTACCTTCCCCTTTGCCAGCTGCACATACTCAGTTTCCCTTAATATCCACTTTAGCCTTTTTTTTCTGGCCCCAATCTTTGATTGGAGAATAGAGAACAAACAGTGGACTAATTTGTCCTATCAGCATGTTCCTTGTTAGCACATGTGCACTGCAGCACACCTACAAGGTTCCTTGTGCTGTTCCCCATCTCCAAGTGTTCTGTTTCAAATGCTACTTTATGCATTGACAAAGTTCATTAGACCCAGTGGGGTTTATTTACTAAAGCTGGAGAGTGCAAAATCAGACTCCCTTCTGCATAGAAACCAATCAGCTTCCAGGTTTCATTGCCAAAGCGTCATTGAACAAGCTGAGGTTAGAAGCTGATTGGTTTCTATGCAGAAGGGAGCCTGATTTTGGACTCTCCAGCTTTAGTAAATAAACCCCAGTCTGTCCAGACAGTATGGTTGCCTGATGACTTGGCTCCATCCACAGGCAGATTAAATCTTCAACAGACACAGAAGTTAAAACCAACACAATTTTACTTAACCTCCCTGGCGGTATTCCCGAGTGTAGCTCGGGGTAAAGTTTCAGTACCAAAAGCGGTAACCCCGAGCTACACTCGGGCTTACCATGCAGCGTTGCTCAGGGAGTCCCTGCAGCGCTTACCTTGTCCTTCGCTGGCCCCCGCGATGTGTCCCCTGCAGCATCCCCAGCCATCTCCTCCGGCCGATGCCGGCATCTGGCTTCCGTGTTCCGGTCCCTGTGAGCGCCGGGACGTACGGGGGCCGTAACGCCGGCAAATTTAAAAATTTTTAGAAACTATAATTTTCTTAGAAATTAATTTGACATAGTAAAACATTACTGTATCAAACCATTTCACATACATTTTGTCCCTAGTGCTTTGTCCTGTGCCCTGCCTGCATTTTGACTGTTCTTTCTGCCTGGAAACTGAGAAACGTCCATGGCGTCCAAAAAGCGGCCCTTTTGGTCAAAAGCGGTTTTAGATCAGCTAGAGAACAGCGATAGTAAATCAGAACCACTTGCAGAATTGAGTGATAATGATTCGTGGGGAAATTCGTCATCAACACTGAAAATGATTCTGCGACTTTGCTCAGCGATGTGCAAACTTGGCGCTATATTTCAAATTTCAGTGTTTTTGGTTTGATTATATTATTGAATTACATTTATTATTATTATATTATTATTTTTATGATTATTTATTAAATTATAATTTATTATTTTGTGTTTCAAGTTCTATCATACCCGGGATGCTTACTAGACTCTTGTTTGGACAGATTTCAGTGAGTTATTCCTAAAAATTACAGGCCTACAATAAAAAAAAAAACATATTTCCATGCAAAAAAAGGTACCGCTTTGAGCACAGAAATATGGACATAATCAATCTGCTAGGGAGGTTAAGCAAATTAGAGTACAGATGATATGTTTCTAGCCTTTTGAAGTGTAACAAGACAATGACATTCCTGTGCCCTGACTCTCCAGATAACTAACACTGAATGAAGGAACATGGAAGAAATGGGGATGGTCTAGCTAAGGCTAAACCAACTAGCCCTAAATAGGAGGTGAGAACAGAGGAATATATCAAAATCACATTAGTAAACAAGTTGCAATGGCCAAAAAACACCAACAGATGTCAGCATACTACAAAAAAAATTATAAAATGTATGCATTTCAGTACAAAACATAAAAAAAATATATGAAAGTGGGACAGAAAACCAAGACTGAGCTCTGCTGTACAGAGAATGCAAGAGACCAATATCAAGTCAAATTCACATATTTATACCAGTTATTTTTCAAAATAAATGTGAATAATTTTACCAATACCGGGCACTTTCACCCTCTTCCTACCCAAGCCAATTTTCAGCTTTCAGTGCTGTCGTACTTTGAATGTTTGAATGACAATTGTGCGGTCATGCAACACTGTACCCATATGAAATGTTTATCATTATTTCCCACAGATAGAGCTTTCTTTTGGTGGTATGTAATCAGCACTGGGTATTTAACTTTTTGCTAAATAAACTTTAAAAAAATGAAAATTTTGAAAATAAACAAATTTTTCTTCATTTCTGTTATAAAATGTTGCAAATAAATAGTTGTTCTTCATAAATTTAAGCCAACATGTATTCTGCTACTTTCCTTTGGTGAAAATAAATCAAACTGGTGTTTATTATTTAGTCTGTAGGAAAGTTATAGAGTCCACAAATATATATATGGTATATATCTCTGAAAATCAATAAATCCTGATGTACTGATCTAATTTGTTGAGGTCCAAAAATGCAGGACGGAGCAAGTATGCCCCAAATTACCCCTTTTTGGAAAGGAGACATTCCAAGGTATTTAGTAAGAGGCATGGAAGGTTTTTTGAAGTTGTAATTTTTCATAATGTTTTGGAAAACTAAGAAAAAAATATATATATATTTTTTCACATACTGTCACTAGTGCTGTACAGAGTCACCAAATAACTGGTGTGGCACATTCCGGGAGGAACGCCCACCCAGAATATCAAAAGTCCCTCCCAGCCGTCATTTTGAATTAGGCCAGGCAGGAACTGGTTGAGAACACAAACCTGTATGAATTGGCATTTAAGAGTGGATTTCATTAATTAATGTATCACTAAACCCAGGACCCTGCATTCACTCTATCTTGTCTCCCACAGTACACAGAACATGGAAATGCAATTGTTTTAGTAAATATAAACTGCTAAATACCTTTTATCATCAGCAGTATATAGGAGCCTTGTAGGAGGTGTTTACATTCTCCTCTGACTGTCCCATGAGGCTGCATAACCCCTGACCCTCTCTCTGGACAACACTGGATTGGCCCTGTGCTGATCACATGCACTCGCCCAGAAAAAAAGAAAACTCCCTAGCAATACACACCAAACTCAGCATGTGCGGCTTGCCCCCAAGGCTCTGTTCTATCAGCAGATGGATTGGGGACAGTAGAACAAGGGGAGCATCAGAGAAGACAGGATAAAACATCCTTTGTACTGTTGTGGGTTTAGTAAAGGAAATGAAAGGAACACATATGACCCTAAACCATTCCAAATTCCCTTTAATAGTTCCCTGACTCAGATATGGATTATCCAAACGTTTTGAGCAGGGACTTTTAAGCTGCAATCCTTGAGGTAGCTACAGACAAAGGAAATCATTTCACAAACCAACCGCTTTTGAAAATACCAACAAAGAGTTACAAAAGACTACAGGAATACATTCACTCTCAATGGTATAAACACACAGAGTATGATCAAAAGAGCCTTCTCTATAGTCCATGTGCTTTGAATTGGTGCTGTGTGTTTAGCACTTGAACACATGGCCTTAATGACTGCCTACCATCTACAATAGAACAACTAGCACAGCTCAGAAGAAATGATGAACAGTATCAAAGCCATTGTAAAGTAAACAAGCTCACCGGCCTTGATAGGGCATATATCAAATCATGGCATAATAAACAATAATGAGCTACAACAATGGAGCAATGCTATAGAAATACAGAGAAATGTGGCTATTTTCCATGCAGCATGTCTTTATCTGTCATTGTGTTGTACTGCTAATAGCCCAGTAAGCCTTATATACGTCCTAAAAATGTTCAGTGTATGAGAAACATAAAACTTGTCATAGTGTTTAACCATTTCCATGCCGGGCAATTGTACACCTTCCTGCCCAGGCCATTTTTCACGTTTCAGCGCTCTCACACTTTGAATGACAATTGCGCGGTCATACAACATTGTACCCAAACTAAAATTTTATCATTTTCTTCACACAACTAGAGCTTTCTTTTGGTGGTATTTAATCACCGCTGGGGTTTTTATTTTTTGCTAAATTAACAAAAAAAGACCAAACATTTTGAAAAAAAAACACGTTTTTCTTTGTTTCTGTTATAAAAGTTTACAAATAAATAATTTTTCTTCATAAATTTAGGCCAAGATGTATTCTGCTACATGTCTTTGGTGAAATAACCCAAATTAGGATGTATTATTTAGTTTGTAGGAAAGTTATAGAGTTCACAAACTATGGTATATATCTGAAAATTGATCAATCCTGAAGTACTGACAGCCAATCTAATTTCTTGAGGTCCACGAATGTCAGAACAGTACAGATATCCCCCAAATGACCCCTTTTTGCAGAGTAGACAGTCCGACGTACTTCATAAGAGGAATGGCGAGTTTTTTGAAGTTGTATTTTTTTTGTCATAATTTTTCGGAAAATTAAAAAATTAAAAAAATTATTTTCACAATTTTCTTTTTTTTTAAAAAAATTATTTTTTTTACATACTGTCACCAGTGCAGTACAGCGTCATCATATAACTGGCATGGTGGTGAACAGGGACACTGACTGGTGATAGTACGAAAAAAAAAAAATATATATATATATATATTTTTTTTTTATTATTATTATTATTATTAATTTTTTATTACTTTTTTTTTTTTTTAAGATTTTTTTTTTATATTTTACTATGACCAAAGTAGTACAATGTTACCATAGTAACATTGTACTACTGTGGGGAAGTGATCAGTATTTTTTTTTTTACACAATTTGCTTATAGAAAAGAATTACTTTGCTATAAGCAAGCATTTACCTGAATGACATCGATTCATTCAGGTTTTTGTTTTTTTTTTTTGTGCTTAGCTGTGATTTGGCCACAGCTAATCACATGACATGTGCATGTGACCTGCTGTGACCATTCACAGCTAGACACTAGTATACAATGGATGGCATGAATGAAGCCATCCATTGTATACAACTGTCATGTGACCTGCTGTGATTGGTCACAGCAGGTCACATGGTACCTGCAACGGGGGCCGGTACTCAGATCTGTCATCGGCCGTGTCCGAGGTACACGGCCGGTGACAGATCGCGAACTGCGCATGTGCGGGAGCACGCCAAATGGCTATTTTTGCGGCCGCCAAACGGCTATAGGCCGGGCGGCTAATGGTTAAAGAGACAGTCCACTAAAAACTGTTATACAGATGAAGCACCCTCCTAGGCTGGCAGGTAAATTTAGTTGACTGGACTATAGTCAAAGGACCAGGGGTTGATTATCTAGAATGGCTCAGTGTCTCACAGGCTGCTGCTCTGATTGCTCCCCCCATCCCTGTCTTCTAGAGCAGCCTTTTTCAACAACCAGGGTGGTCAGGCACCATGGAGTACCTTCAAGCTCCTTCAGGGTGCCTTGGCAAAATTCCTAAAAATTGCCATACAATGTATACAAACTAGCAAGTAGATAAAGCCGGCTTTTTAGTTACACAAAGCCACAGGTTTTCATTTTGCACCATTACAACTTTCTAGCCCCTGGCATCTTATCAACCAATGATGTCAAAGGTTGATAAGGAAGACATCGGGCCCTCCTCTGCTCCTCTCTGGGGTCACATTAGCTGAGTGACTGGGTGAAACTAAGGGGGAAGAGAAACATTGGAATACAAGTCAGTATGAGTGTGCAAATGTGTATTTGCTTTGGAAAAATAAATCACGGCTAATGTTGGGTGTCCTACGTTTGCAGATGTTGCTGCATTATGTAAAACTATTAGCTTAGATTTTTACATTTTAGAATGGGGTTTTTCGAGATTATCCATAATTCTAAAGGGTGCCTTGACTAAAAAAAAGGTTGAGAAACACTGTTGTAGAGGATTCTAGGAGTATAGTGGGAGGAAGGACAGAGTAATCAGCCTGAAAATTTATGGAGCTCCAATCAATCCCTGGGGAAGCGTACCCAGTAAATGGTTGGAGAGCTCTTCAATAGTCTGAGGTAGCAGCTGCAGAGTTCCTAGTTTCAGTCCTGCAGGGGGAGGCACCTGTGCAGGGGGGCTCTGCTCCTTGAGCAGAACACTAAAAGAAGCCATGAGGAAGACAAAAAGGTCCTAGCTAGTCTTAGCTGGGGGGGGGGGGGGTATTTGCAAGCTCCTAGGATCAAGTTGGGTCTGGA